GGAGGAGGAGGAGGAGGATGTGAAAATCTGGACTCAAGTCCTCCCAGCCCCAGGTACCGCGCTGGCCTGTCTAAGAAATCCCCTACAGTATTGCTGCCACCACCGCTCACGGACATGGACAGCGGTAAAATCACTGACCCGCCAGGCGCCGTTAGGAAAGCCACCAATAATCATGTTCTCGGCAGTGCTACTGGTAGCTATAATGTGGAATCCAGGATCTATTCAGCTACTAATAGCCTTCCCCCGGGTGGAACCACCACCTCCCTTAGACTCAACCACTCCAATCATACGGGTTCAAATCATACCTACCTGAAAAACACCTACAAGAAGAATCTCTCAGAGCCCGAGGAGGAGCTTCTCCAACAGTTCAAAAGAGAGGAGGTATCCACCACTGGAGGCTTCAGTGCACATTACCTGTCCATGTTCCTCTTAACTGCTGCATGCTTGTTCTTTCTGATGCTGGGATTCACATACCTGAGAATGAGAGGTTCTGGAGTAGCCGAGGATGTGGGAGCCAACAGTAAGTATTAGGTGAAGGGTAAGAGCAGTTTCTTTCTGCATCTGGATGTACAACTGTTAACTCACCTTTGCGTTCCCAGACATCCCGTACGAAGCAGTTCTGGGTTGCACCTTGGTATAATCTTTCTATATAGGATGAAGCACAGAGGAACTGTCTTTCCTCAAGTATGTACCTTGCGAGCCAGTATAATAAGCTTGCAGGGCATCCTGCAGTTCCCTGCTGTAACTGTTTGATACCACGTTTCTTAGCATGTTTGTTTTTTTGCAAAGCGTTTTATCTGTTTTGCTCAGTATAGCAGAGGAAATAGAGGATTGACCAGGTAAGGTTTGACGCTAATCTCACAGGAGTAATCGTGCACATTTGGATACCTGGGATTCCTGCAGGGCTAAGATTTGACTGTAGTAGTTTGGTTATAATGCGGGTTGTTCTCATTTACGTGTACTGAGGCTTGAAAAGAGTGCTAGATTGAGGTGATGTTACATGCCACAACAAACTTCGTGCAGGGAATGCTGGACCAGTTGTGTATTGTTTTTTAATAAGTACTTTTCTCTTAAATATAGTTGCGAATATGTTCAGGATGTGTGTGTATATGTATATATATATGAGGAAATACTGTTGTGCTTTAGTTTGAATTTCAGATTGTTCTTAATCCTGAAATTACTTGGAAGCTTCTCTAATATGCAAAAGTAACTTGCAATGAATTTAGAAACTACCATTTTATATTCTCAAAGCATACAGAGATGGAAATGTACCACCTAAGGGTGGTGATTCATGCCAATTCAATCCTTGGCTGCTCTGAAATGGACAGTGGAGATTCCAACATCAGGAAGAAGAATCATGCTGTTGCTGTCTTAATTTCTCATCAGGAGCAATGAAAAATTATGCAAAAAGCTAGTTTTGGGACCTGAGATCATTAGAAGGTCCTTGGGGAATTGTGGTTTTTCTTGAAATGATTGAGGAAGGCATGTGGGATGGATGCACAGGCATATATTTCTTTGTATAGATAGTAGAGGATTTATATACTCATGTGTGGGCACGTACACAGAGCCTTGTAAGGAGTGATCCCACTGCTAGATGGGTGTCTGCTAGATGTTATAGGGCAGAAATAGCAGCGTGGGCTGGTTTTTTTTTTTCCTGCTTTCCTTTTAATTTTTTTCTCTCTTTTGAACCCTGGTCATTACGTGATGGTAGCAGAGTAATTGTTCTGCACTCTTTGGGGTGGATAGGAAGGAATTTAGTGTTTAGGAAGGACAAGAGCAGCAAGGACTTAAGCATTTGCAGTGGTTTCTTTGGTGTCCACGTGGCTCTTAACTACTGTTCAGCCTCTTTTTTGGGGGAGGGGGGAATATATGGCAGTGAACATAGACAGGTGAGCTAAAATTAGATACGGTATAGTGTGACTGTCGGGACTACTCATGTTCTGTGGTTAGCTTCAACCCACAACTGCTAGAGACACACAGATTTTCTTACTGATAAGTTGTGGACTTTACTAGTACCTGCTAGATTTATTTTTTTTTCCCTAGTCTTGAAGTCAGATGGTTTTAATAGGGGAGAAGATCTGTCAGTCTACTGGGGTAAACTTTCTGGCTGTGAAATCAGTAGTTGAATTAAAACTTGCCTGCCATGCTGATAGATAAAGCTGAATGTCTGAGCTATGCAGACTGCAGTCATACTGCAGAAAGAAATCCACTCTGATCATCTTGTCTTGTAAGACGACTGTTTAGAATGTGTGAACTTTCCTATAGAGCATGTGGGATCACTGTATTGAGTGTATTGCTCTTAAAAAGTTAATCCTGCTGGAACTGATAAACAGGGGAAATTATTTTCTGCCCTTTTGCTTAGATTAGGCTGCTCAACCCACAGTCTGGTAGCCCTCTGTAGCTTGGTAGTTCAATTAAGCCAGTTCTTTGCCTGTTACTGTTTGGGCTCTTTTCAGCAGAGCTCCTGAAAGTGGATTTCCTGAAGAATTGTTCTGGTGGCAGCACTCACATTTCATCTGTCCTCCTTCCTCACAGCCCAGGGCCTTGCGACGTGACAAATGGGAAGGGGGCACAGGGCCTATTGAAAGAAGCAAATGGGAGATTCTGTGGCTAGCTTCCTCTGGTAGGAAGAGGAGCATGCTGCTTCTTTTAAGTAACGTGGGCATGAGCAGGGAATTGCTCAGCACATGCTCACTAAATTAATTCTCAAGTGGGCATATCCAATGAGAATGTGATAGGCCTGTAGAATAGGCAAGAAGAGACAAGACAGGTTAATGAAAACTGATTGCTACTGGGAAGGGGAAGAACCCTGTCCTTGGTTAGGTGCTACACTGAGCTTAAACGTCATCCGAGTGACTCCTTTGGCTGCTGTGCTTGTGTGGGTGTATTGTCTGTTTTCTTTATGGAAGAAGAACTGTGTCATACATTAGTATTGAAAAATAGTGTATCTCAAGAAGCATCCTTTCAGCTTGGTGATGTACAGATTTTTTTGTTTCCTGTCTTTGTCTGTAGGTAAGATTCTGTTGGCTGAGAATGATTTGGTTGTGAAAAATTAAAATTATTCTCAACTTCAAGCTGTGTCGTAAAAGGCTTTAGGATTCAGTGAAGTTGCGCTACACACATCTCCATCATTACACTTACTGTGAGAAAACAAAACGGGAGCTATTTGTATGCTTGGGAGGCTTCTTATTTTAGCTCCACAAGGAACATTGCACATTGAGCTTAATGTTCGTTGTCTTAATTGTTCATTACCTAGAATGAAATTCAGTGAAAATAAAGTGATATTATGTGTGGCATTGAAAAATACGTATTGCCAAGTACACCCAGTGTCAGTTCTTACAGTATTTGTCAGGCTGTAATTTGAGAACTGAGGAGGTGTGTGTAAGGCTAGGGAGGGGCCTAAGTGACACATTAGGGTTGAATTTAGGCCAGGTAAAATAATATAGATGGGAAGTAATAAGCAGAAAACTTCAGAAGAGGATTGTCACTTGTATTGTGCATAATGTTCAAATGATTTCTTATTCAAAACTCTGAAATAGCTCTAAAAGGCTTTAGTTTTTTTCTGCACATGCAACATAAAATGTTCAAAGACAAATTGGAATTGGACTAATTCTTCTGTATAACTACACATGGTGAGCTTATGTGTTTAGCTGTCTAAAATGCAGATAAATGTCTACAGGGCTTTTCCTAAAGCATCTTCAGCCATTGAAATTAAACTACTCTTTAAGCTTACGTAGAAGACCAAGTAATGCATAAGCACATATTGTGCTTACTAGCTCTGACAGGTGTTTTATGTGAAAGGTCAGTTTGGGCTTGGTGCTGGTAAACGTATTCATGTGGCTGTTGCTGTAAAGCATGTTTTCCTTGTGCCTGCCTTCAAAATACCGTGGAGTTGTATCGACTTCTTGCCAAGCCAGCATAGTATTTTTTGACAGCAAAATGATAGATTTTACTTTTGTCTACTTAGTAGGGTTCTTCAAACTCTGAAGAATGTAGTACCTCTTCCAACCTTGTTGTTTTTGTTTTGTGATGTTACTCCAAGCATCTCAATTGGCTGCTCCTGGGAGTTGTTAGTTCTAAAGTTATTTTTCACTGGAAGTTGATAATACCAGATCAGTAGATGTTCCTTTCAGGTGTGGTTTATCTTCTGAAAGATGGGAGCATTAGTATGGGTGCTTCCTTAAGGTTGTAATCTGAAATAGATCCCATTGAAGGTCTCACTGTGTCTGCTCCAGTACTTTGCCTAGGAAGTAGTTGATGTTGCAAAAAAAACCCAATAAAAATAAAATAATCTTGAAACTTTCAGGTAGGTCTTGTTCATAATCTTATGTTCTTACTAGGAGAAGCTTTTGAAAGCAATATCTCTTGCTGGTGATTTTGATACTTTCTATGATGTGCGTTACAAAACAACTGATAGGAGGATAATCCTTACTACATTTGCTACAACTTGTGTTTTTGAAATGTTAATTCTATGAGACAAGCAGTTGCATATTTTGCAAGTGGAAACTTATGCAAATCACTGTTTGACGGTTTTAATTCTGTTCCGTTGATGTTCCTTTGTTCTCGGCTTCTAAATCTCTCAGGTGTTAAAACTTCTATGGAATTTTATGCAGGGAATTTTCATTGGTAAGAAGGTAGACTTGCTGTATAAAAGACGAGAAGATGACTGTTATGCTCACAAGCCTGCAAATTACTATTAAAGTGCTGTGGTATTTCACAAAGAACTGTTACAAATCTACTTGCCTTCTAAGATAACCTTCTCAGAAGAGTCTGTCATCTTGACCAGTGTTGGCTTCAATGGATGAAAACGAATTCTGTTCTATAAATATTTTTTTATCCAAAAAGGAGTAAAGGGAGGAAGCAAAATTAAAGGATTTGGAGAGTTCCTTTGTGGTGTGGCTATTAATGTTGCTTGTGCTTTAGCAAGTGATTCTCTGACTTGTATTTCAGGGACAACTTCTATGACATATTAGCATAGAGCTGTTTCTACTTTCTGTATATTACTTCAAACTCTAGCAAGTATTTCTCTTTTAGGTGACATAAAGGGAAGTTCAAATAGTTCTTACACAGTACGGAAGAGTTGATCTTAGCTGACAACTTCAAATCCTTTCTAAAACATAATAAACAGTCTATTTACCTTTAGAGCAGATCTGTATTTTAAATTATAAATAGGAAAGTTGCTCATCAGTATTTGAAACTAAAGTGATGCAACTTCAGAATTCCCGTTTTTAAGGAGATAGCGATGTTTGCTACTTTGTTCAGAATACTTAGAACTAACTTACTTGGCATTCATCCCTTAAATTTGTTGTTGTTTGCAGACAACCACAAAACTTGCCTTACGCCGTGGCTTTAGCTAGTCTCATAATGACATTTTTTCAATGTTACTACTGTGCTTTTTTTGTGAAGTAAGTAATGGGAAGTTGGAACTAAAATTACATGCCTGGCAAGCAAGGGTGCAGAAGAGCTCTGGGAGGATCTGTTTCACTGGGTATCAAAAAGTAGTTGCAAGTTTGCACTTCA